TCTTCTCTCCGTTTTTATAAAAGATCATCCTAAAAGTTTGCAATAAAATGTATATTTTTTGGTTTACAAAAATATGGAGCAAAGACCCACTAAACCTTAAAAGTACACTTTTATGACAAAAGATTCACATCTTTCCGAGAAATACTTAAGTTAAGGGTCATATCACAAACATGACTTAAATGCCCACAATTATCATGAGCCATGTAGCGTAGTGGTTAGTATGTTAGTCTCAAAGCAATATGATACTCCAAATTTTTATTGCTAGAGTTCAAATCTCATGAATACCATATTATATTTTTATAAAAGAATAATTTTTCTCGAGATTTTTTTTATCTCAGAAAAGATTTGTTTCTCATATTTTCATAAATTACAATAATGAGTACTTTATTTAAATACATAATTCACATATTGAATATGATTTTTTTGTATCTGAAGCTATAGGAATTCTGCACGCCTTGTCCCCCCATCTTCTTATGCATGCACATCAAAGATAAGGTTTGTGCTAACAACTACTTCATATCTCTATTTTGATGTCAGAGCATTTATAATTATGTATACACATGTGGCAACAACCATAGACTTAGCTATACCTAATTTAACTTTCACTTTCAAACAGAGTTGCCTCAACATATCATTTTTGGAGAAACAATTTTCCTAGTATTTATACCGTAAATCTGGAAATTTTTACGTCGATTTATTTTTGCGAATTTGGGTCAAAAAGCTGTTGATTAATTTTTACGCTTCAAATTTTTTGGGAATTGTCACTGGTGAAAAAAATAAAAATCACTGAATATTTTCTTTCGGGATATGTTTCAAATAATATGCCCGTTAAATACCACCAATATACTCACAACTGGAAAGTATTAAAAATCCTCGAAACAATTTTGATAAAAATACAAAAGGATTTGCACTGAAAATAATTTCTAAGTAATTATAACAAACATTTTAGAGGTTGTGTATGCCTTTTAACCTAAAGTATAATTCAAATGAAGAAAAAATATAAATAATTTTCTCAACGTTTGGTTTTTTCCCGGGACCTATATACTAACGGGATAGGCAACTACCGCAAGTTCACGATATCTCGCAAGTCGCGGGATTTCGTAAGTCAACTTTAATTAATCATATCTCTAAAGCTATCGCATATTTGAGATAAAATCCTTAAATTATTTAAAAAAACATTCAAGATTTTTTTTAGAACGTATGATACTCCTTATCTTTGTAATAATTTTGTTTTATGCAAAATTAGCACATGCCCCGATCGGCCATATTTCCGGAAAAGCGATTTTGGTGATTGTTTTCTTTATATTTTAATTATATTATTATCATGCTTACATATTTATCAATAAATCAATTCCTATACATAAAAGGAATAAATGATATTAATCAGAAAATACCGTTTACTGGGAATAAACGGAGTTTGAAAAACTTGTAGTGTTGTGCGTGATGTTTTGGGTAAATAAACATGGCGATGAAGGAGTTGCCTATCCCGTTAGTATATAGGTCCCTGGTTTTTCTCACCAAAAATTTACATGCCGCGTTTACATTTGGAACTTTCTAGTAAATGCACTGAGTTTGAGTTATCGCCCGTGTTGATACACGGTTAGATAAAATGACAGTTCTCTCTTTATTGGCAAATTAATTGATTAAAATAATTAAAAAGGGGCGTACCGCCTCAGTGCTTGTCAAATCATCGGACGATATTGCATATAATGAGGGCACGGGTAATTAATTTGTAGTTATAGTAGACTAGTGTAAACAGGTTTCTTTTAAAAATAACCAGTGCTTACCAACACCTATTCACTGAGTTAAAAAAAAGACACGAGTTCTCAGAAAAAAATTCTTCACATGTTGATTTATTTTTAAGAAAAATATTTTTGCGAATTCAATCACGCAAATTTGTAAAAATTTATCTCAGTAAAAATTTCCAGATTTACGGTATGCGTATGCAAATATGTTTAACATCTGTATATGATAATATGAAGTTAAATTTTGCTTAACAGTATCTTCCATGTTTATATGATTTTACAAATACCTGTACAGAAAAAAAACACAACACACAACATACAACATACATGCCCACATACACAAAAATAACACACTAATAATGCACTGTACAATACATATATATATGGTTAAATGGTATTTTATATCTAAATTTGTGCAAATTTACTGTGCAAAACCATATTGTTTACCATGCAGAAAATACAAAAAGCAATCAAATTCTTTCATTCCATGGCATCACAATGCATTGTCATATTGGCTATTTCAAGCATCATATTCTTTTTTAAACAATTTCAACTGTATACATATACTTCTTTAAAGAAAAGCCGGAACACTAAAAATTTACCAAACATTTCACAACTATGATGCCTTCATTGTTGCTGTTTTTGATTCACTTTAAAAACTATATTTACATATATAAACCATCTTATTGTGGTAGAACATTATTACAGTTTTTGTTCTATCCTAATTTGTCACATACAATTTGCAACAGGTCAGTCAACAACTTAGTAATAATTAAATGATAATGAATGACCTCCATCTACATTAAGTATCATATATGAGACCCGTAAAATACAGAATATTGCAGAAACAATACTGGCAGATAATCTGAAGACTACGATATTGTACATCTCAATCAGAACACTTCTATATCATCTACTCTTACAAAGTGGAAAAGATGATAAAAGCAAAATAGCTATACATTAAATAAAAAGTATAAGTGATCTACAAACATGACAAAATTCTTCATACACATATCAAAATGGATTTCTTGACTTGTGATCCTTAATTGGCAGATTCTTCCATCATACACATGATATTTTAATATAAGCTCTTTTTTTATGTTTTCATTTGTGTCAGCTTATTAAAATTGAGTATTTATATCATCATGCCCATTTTAATACCAAGGAAAAATAAATTTGACGTCACTGAATGTCATTTGCAAGTTATTTCAAAATCAGCTTCCTGATGTAAATGAAAGTTGCATAATATCAAATACTGAGGAATGCAGCAATAATTTCTGGATTCATTTCTTTTTTTTTTTGACAATTGATTTCACCGGTCATTTTCTCGCTGGTGTAAATGATTCAATTTCAGTTATTAAAGTTGCTGCCTTATGCCTTACAGTGTTGCCAATATGCATGCAGTTAACAGCCCTAGAAAAACCGAAGGTAGGTGGCTTTGGCACGGGGAGGCAGAATTACTCCCAACATAGCCTGAAGAAGGAGCTGAAAAGCAAAATAAAAGGAATTTAATGACTCACTACACATACAGAAAAGGCTTTAGAAAACATCTATAGGGATATAAGCAAATTAAGAATTTGTGTTACCAAATTATCATTATATGCCCATGGGAACACAAATTCATAATATACATGGTGCACACGTTGCTGTTTGATTGTGTTGATGTTAGAAACTTCATATGGACCTGATTCCAAACCTACTTGCTCTATAAAAATCGACTTTTAAGGAGTGTTGATAAAATTTAATGCCTCAAATTGTAAAAACTTCATGTTTCCAAGTAATTCTAATAAAAATTCATTGTCTATTAAACAACACCAAGAGATTTTAAACAAAATGGATGCAGGAATTTTTTTCTTTTTTTTCAGTGAACCAGTATTAAAATAGACTTGGGTTCTAAATTTAATAAGATTTTCAAAATTACATTCAAATCCCAAATTTCCAACATCATATTTGGGGAAAATTGCAAAATAACCATTAACAACATGCACAACATAAAATAAGAAAGGCATGCAAAAAAATTTAAAGGATCAGATACAACAAATAATAAATATGCACTATGTTGATAGAAGACCATAAAACAATTAACTAGTTACTTCTAGCAGTGAGCTATTTATAGCTCTGAGTGCTTTTGTCTAGAACATTTTTGCTATATGAACACATATGGTCTTTTTCAAATTTTATCATAATTATTAACTAAGCATGCTTAGTCTATTTACTTAATACCCAGAGGTAGATCAGAGTAACAAAGAGAAAATGCACTTCCACTTTATACCCAGTTGTGCACCTTACCCCAAAGGAACCACTGACCCAGGGGCCACATATTTCAAAATTTTGCAAATCTTATCATAAAATGGTTGATTAATACCAAAAAGCTGATTTCAAAGCACTATTTATTTTCAAACTATGTAACCCCCACTCCCCCCCCCCCCCCTCTGACCCAGGGGGCACAAAAAAACCACTTTGCTAGATGCACCTTTCTTCATCATAAATATATATCTACCCACCCAAGAATGATTCGCCTTGGACCTTCTGATGGGGATGGATGGGGGGTAGAGTCGGGATTAGAGTTTAAAATCTGTCAAATTTTACTATAGATAACAATAAGTCAATAATTTTTAAAAAATGCAAATGTTCTCAATTCTGATTAGATTATTCTTTCTTGTAAACATGTACATCATTTTGTTAAATTTTTCCGTACTGCTTGAGTTTTCTGCAAGTAAAAAAATATTTGACTTTTCACTTTGTTTCATTTACAATGTAATAAGTGCCAAGCTGTGGGTAAGTTATGACAATGTTTACATGAACATTATCAATAAAAAATTGAGTTTACAGTTAACATGCTTAATTTTGAGTGAATTGTTCATAAATTCGTATTTTATTCTGGTCGCACAGGCATACGAAAAAATGCCTTCACACTAGCGATATATAACATTGTAATGAAAATATCTCCATTTGTATGAAAATTGCAAAGTTTGAAAGTTTTTTGCAAAAAATTGAACGAGAACACATAATATTTTTTTTAAATAGATGGATTCTAAATTTACTTCACATTCATTAAACTATATTTTTTTTTACAATAAGTTGGATATACTTGTAATAACTCAATCACCAATATGAATGAGTGTTTATTATTAATTTATAGCAATTTTAAGTCATAATTTCATTTTATACTGTTTGGTAAATATTATTTATGGGGGTGATTCATGCTAATTACTTAAACATCAGTATTAACAATGTTAATTTGTATTTTCATAGAAGAGGACTGTCCCTCGGGTAGTGAATATAATCCTGAAACTAAAGATTGTGATGACTGTCTGCGTGGCTTCTACCGAAACAAAACGGACTCACAACAAGTTAAATGCCAGAAATGTCCAGACCAGTTCATCACCGTGGGTACCAAAGCCACCAGTGTCAAGAACTGTACCATTAGTAAGTCAGATATACTGAAAGGAAAAAGAAACGCATAAGAACATAATATGCGAAATTTTTTGTCTATGTGGCCCAAAGTTATGAAAATTGGTAATATGTGTATTTTTGTTACTTTGCACTAAAAGAGCTGGTCAAAACTATTCAACCATGAAATGTATGGTGCACGTAGGGGAAGTGATAAAAAGCCAAAAACATGTGCATGTTGATAATGACAATTTTATGACCACATTTTGTCGTGCCAATTGATGCATTAGATCGAGTTATAGACATCGTTTTACCTCATTTTCAATCAGTATAAATTTCTTGCCTTCATGGTATGGCTGACAGAAGTTACACAAGATCGAGTAATTGAATTGTGTAAGTGAATAAAAACTTACTATCTTACCCATATTTTCCACCCTAAAATACAAAAATTCTCTGCTCTTATTAGGTCGCGAGCTTTGCAACTTTTACGTCGATTTTACTCTCGCACGCGCAAGTACGTGTCATATGCATAATGTTTTTAGCATGTCATACAGTGTTTGTCAAGACTTTCTTACAAACATTCACATGTACGAAACCAGCTGGATTCTGTAAATTCTATCCTTAAATGAAAATTTGTGGCATTCATTTGGCGGGGGGATTTGTTGGCTTTGGAATGATACAGCTACTCTCAACCATTAAGACTATTGTCAAAAGGGTTGTATAATATTCTTATGAGAAAGATAAATGCTCTGATGAACTCAGTGCACAAGAAAATTAAGGCTGTTACCAATGTGCAAGTGAGATGATGAGAATTTTTATTTTAATTTTCGGGGGTATCGACATATCAATTTCAATAACTCAGGAATTATCAGTCAAAATCACACAAGATTTTGTTAACTTGTTGATTAAAGATGAATTAACATGTTTCATAACAATACTTGGAAACGTTTTTAAAATAATAGTTTTAATTTAATTTAAAAGTTTAATATGCGTTTCTTTTTCCTTTCAGTATATAATAAATATGAATGGCTGTACAATTAAAGTCAGATATTATAACTTAAATAGCCACCAGTATGAATGACTGTACTATCAGTAAGTCAGATATAATAACTCGGCCACCAGTATAAATACTGTACCTTCAGTAAATCAGATATAATAACTCCGCGGTTACCATTGTGAATAACTGTACCCTCAGTAAATCAGATATGTTAACTTTGGCACCAGAGTAAGTAACCTACAGTTTACTATAAGTAAGAACTCAATCACCAATATGAATGACTGCATGAGATACAGAATCTATCAAAACATTGTCTTTAGGATTATTTTTGTTTGTACCTCTCCTCATTAAATTTTAATGGAAAATAACCATTTTCCTGGATAACAGATTCTTTTTTTTTTTTTTAGAAATAAATTTGATACGTGTATTGGTAGAGGAGCCTCATTTATACAGACACTTTGGTTCTCAGTCAATTTGTCTGGATATGTGAAGCATCCGGATACCTGATTACTGTAAATCAACTGTTATTCGTGTGAGAGAAATTTTCGTGAAGTTCACAAGAGCCTCGTTATCGCGAATGTTTCTCGCCACAAACTAGTACTTTTAGTGTATGTGTCTATTAACAACAGATCCAAAAAAGGCTTGATTGCATAAATTGATCATCGTGAACTATTTTATCCCTGGTAAATTGCCAAAAATAAGTTGTAAATAAAAGTTGGGTTACAGTATACTTGATTTTATAGTTTTATGGCCTTTCATACTATTGGCAGTAGTAAAGAATTCTGCTTTATATCAGTATGTTTTATTGCTTAAATACTTTAATATACATTTATACCACTAAAAACTTGTTTACATAAATTAAAAAAGTACATTAAAAAAATCAATAAATTCAGTTTTTATCTCATAACACCAAAATTCCTTCCACCTTTGAATTGGCCTTTTTCAATCTGTTAAGAAATTCAGATCAATTTGATTTAATTATAGTGATTGGTTAAAAACAGGTATATAAATGTTCAGAGAAGCAAGGTATCTGATAATTAAAGCTAATATTATATCTAGAATTCATACATTGCCATTTTAGAAAAGAAATTTTAGAAAAAAAATTAAAGTTATGATTTGATTTGAACATATTTTATTGTCTATATTCTTTACAACTGGGATTGGGCAAAACTTCTAAAAACTTAATAACGCCCTTTCCCTACATGTACATATGCATTATACCAAACATATCATAGATTATAACATGTATAATGTAGACATTCATTTACTTTACAGGAAAAGGAAATGAAACAAAGTCTCTAACTACTGGAAATCTTACGGGGCAAACAAATCCCTCTCCAGGTGAGGAATTACATACACGTACTTAACTTTATTATGGATTATAATGTAGATGTTCATTTACTGATTGATCTGAATTTGATTGATTGATTGATTGTATTTTGTTTAACGTTCCTCTCGAGAATTTTTCACTCATATGGAGACGCCACCACTTGCCGGTGGAGAGGTGCAAATTTTGTCCTATGCTCGGCTCTCAGGGCCATTGAGCAGCGAGGGATCTTTTTTGTGCCAGCACCTACTGCAACAGGGGACCTCAGTTTATACAGTCTCATCCGAAGGACCTGTCTCCACGTCCCACAGTGGGATACCTGCGACATAAGGATTGGCTACATACTTCGCGTCTCTAGAGCAGTTGCTCTAACCACTGCGCCACGCGGACGACTTATCTGAACTTGAATGCTTTACAGAAAAAAGGAAATAAAACAAAATTTATTCCTGTTGATTCAACCTGGGGTAGTGTAGATTCTAAATCAAGACGCCATGCGGGGTAGGGTAGGCCACAATAGAGAATCCGAAGTTTTACATTGAAGGATATTGGAATTTTTTTTTTTAAATCCTCTTTTTAAGAAACACGGGGCCAGAAAAGCTGAAACTTATGTGAAACTTCCTGGGTTAGTGTAAATTCTGAAGTGTTCAAATCAATACCCCCGGGATAAACCAGAGCTACAGTTTCAAATTAAAATATATAGAAAAAATCTTTTTCAAAATCTTTTTTTCAAGAAGCACAGGGCCAGAAAAGCTGAAAGTTTTGTTGAAGCATCCTTAGAGAGTGTAGATTCTAAATATTTTTCAAATAATGACCTTGACATAATAAAGGGTGCCATGGGGCCACTTTAGGAAATCTTGTTTTTATTCATTAAAAACATATAAGAAAAATCTTTAAAAATCTTCTTCAATCTTAAGAACCATTAGGCAAAAAAGGATAAAACTTAAGTAGAAGCATCCTTGGGTAATGCAGATTCTAAATAATTCAAATCTTGACCCTTGGGGTAGGGCGGGGTCACAATAGGTATTACGGGGAGGGGGGATATCAGGTGAAGAACATCAGGGCTAAAGTTACTTAGGTGAGTGTTGTGGTCCATGGGCCTCTTGTTTCATAAGAAAAGTTGCATGACAAATAAAATATTTTTTGTTTAAAATGATAAATTTAAAGCAATTTTAAGTCATACTTTCATTTCATGCTGAAAGATGGAATTTTATCATGGTGGTAATTTATGCTCATTACCTAAAGAGAAAGCTTTAGCATATATATTCAGTTCTTAAAGTATAATTCATATCACAAAAATAACCCTCACACATAAAGCTTCTGTCACAAGTTCTTAAATTGACCACTCACAATGACATAATCATCAATCAATGATCAATATAAACAATGTAAATTTGTATTTTCATAGAGGACTGTCCCTCGGGTAGTGAATATAATCCTGAAACTAAAGTTTGTGATGACTGTCTGCGTGGCTACTACCGAAACAAAACAGACCTAAATCAAGTTAAATGCCAGAAATGTCCAGACCAATTCATCACCGTGGGTACCAAAGCCATCAGTAAAAAGAACTGTACCATTAGTAAGTCAGATATAATAACCTGTCCACCAGTTTGAATAACTGTACCATCAGTAAATCAGATCTGATAACTTAGCCACCAAAGCTAGTAACTATATTTATTTTACAATAAGTTAGATATACTTGTATTAACTCAATCACCAATATGAATGAGTGTTTATTATTAAGTTATAGCAATTTTAAGTCATAATTTCATTTTTATACTGTTTGATGAATATTCGTTATGGGGGTGATTCATGCTAATTACTTAAACATCAGTATTAACAATGTAAATTTGTATTTTCATAGAGGACTGTCCGTCTGGTAGCCAATATAATCCTGAAACTAAAGCTTGTGATGACTGTCTGCGTGGCTACTACCGAAACAAAACGGACCCACAACAAGTTAAATGTCAGAAATGTCCAGACCAATTCATCACCGTGGGTACCAAAGCCACCAGTGTCAAGAACTGTACCATTAGTAAGTCATAAGATATAATAAATCTGCCATTAATATGAATGGTAGTATCATTGATATCACATATATATATATAACTTAAATAGCCCCTGGGGTAAACGACTTTAACATCAGTAAGTCAGATATAATTACTCAGACACCAGTATGAATGACTGCATCATGGGTAATTTAAGTCAGATATAAAAACTAGGCCACCAGTTTAAATGACTGTACCATCAGTAAGTCAGATATAAAAACTCGGCTACCAGTTTAAGTGACTGTAGGATCATGCTAAGTACTTAAACATCAAATAAACAATGTAAATTTGTATTTCCATAGAGGACTGTCCGTCTGGTAGCCAATATAATCCTGAAACTAAAGATTGTGATGACTGTCCGCGTGGCTTCTACCGAGACAAAACGGACCAACAACAGGTTAAATGCCAGAAATGTCCAGACCAATTGATCACCTTGAATACCAAAGCCACCAGTGTCAAGAATTGTACTATCAGTAAGTCAGATATAATAAATCTGCCATTAATTTAAATGGCTGTACCATTAAAGTCAGATATTATAACTTAAATAGCCACCAGGGTTAATGACTTAACCATCAGTAAGTCAGATATAATGAATATGCCATGAAAATATGGTGATGTCTTGAAGCCCAATTTCAGTGGAAACTATTCTCTACCCCCTTTATTTCAAGAGCTGGAATTAGATATAGTTTACTATTTACCTTTGGTATTAAAATAATTAATGAATTACTATTGAAAAAACAAAGATTTTATGTTTAAATTGTCATTCAAGTTTTAATAGGAGATCTGATTCTGGCACTAAAATGTACAGGAGAAAGTATTTTTTTAATGAGCAGAAGGCCCCTGGTTATCATATGGATAGAAAATCCTCCTCAGGAAGTGTATATTCAGGTTGTCCAAATCATGGCCTTTGGTATTTGGAAACAATGCTTTCAGTGACAAGAAACGTAACAGATTGTCACAAGTGACAATATTCAAAAAAAAATGTTCGTAATCTCCAAGTTTTACACATGCCATATGAAAGATTATTTTATCAAATGGGTTTTATTTGTATATATTGACATTTGCAAATGTTTTCCTTTATAGCACTACTGAAAGGAATGCGTATCTATAACTGTATAAATACAGGTATGGGGTCAAGAGGTCATAGATGTGCGTATGGATAATCATTTGACGTAATTTCTCAGTGACGTCATAAAGGGTCGACGCGCGTTCAGTGGATTACATTTGAAAAATAATGCATTCTCACACGCTAAAAGTCACAATCAGGCAAATATTAAATATGAATAAGTCACAAATGTATATATTAGTATTAAGGTATCATTTTAAAACATCTATCGGGCTATAAATACAATTTGGTACGAGATTAAATTCATCATAAAGCCCTTTGGGCTTTATGGAATTTAATCTCGTGACCAACCTTTATTTATATCCCTATAGATGTTTAAAAATGATACCTTATTTCTTAAATAACATCAAAAATGAAATATTTTACTTTTACCCTTTTATGTCCAGTCATTCAGAAAAAATTGCTTTTAAGTGATAATTTTGATAATACAGGTAAAGAAGGTGTTGGTCAGAATTCTCAAGATGAAGGAAGGAATAGTGAGAATATAGGTGACAACAACAAACCAACCAACAAAGATGCAAACAAGAATCCAAACAAAGATGCAAACAAGAATCCAGGTACAGACAAAATCCTACATATGACAGAGAGAGCAAGAAAAATCATAATGTTCATTTACTTTAAACAATATCAGTAAAACCAGACCAAAACGGCATCAAATATTTAAAGAAATACTTTTCTTAACTAAACCTAGATGGCATATTTACTCCTACAATTTCAGATTTTGTTGAGCAATATACTTCCCATTATAATTGTTAAATTCTTGAGTCCTTGTTATAATTAGTGAAATTCATGACCCCTTTTGACCTTGACATCACTTTTCTAAAATAATTGTATATTCAATTTTCTTTAAAGTATTCATGTAATCTTCTAATACACATGCTGGTACATGTAGTGCATATCAATAAGAACCTAGCTGCAGAACTGTAGCTCTCTGTTTGAGGGAATTCAGGAAAGACAGATATAAAGCAGAGAGCTACAGATCCAAGCATCGTAAAAAAAACTTCGCAGAGAGCTACAGTTCTACAGCTAATTAGAACTATGCAATTACAATCATATTTTTTTTTTACATTTGACTCTGTTTCAAAGAAACTATTTAGTATATTTTTATCTTAACAATAATATCCTGATACACATTTTAAGAGCTATTCATTTCTGTCCAAAAAGTCCTTGACCTTACTAATTTTGCCCTTATCTCAGATTTTCATGTAAATGCATGCTCTGATTTAGAATTTTGTGAAAATTTATCATCTTAGTTCCTATACATGTACCGGTATATTCCCTGTAACTGAAATTATTTATGAATAAAAAACTTTTATAGAAACTAATCAAGATATTTTTGCATCATTGGTAGGAGCTATTCAACTGTATCATAATTTTCTGACCTTAACCTTCCCTTGCTATTCCTCATATATGTACTGTAATCTAACAACAAAGAAACAAAATGAACCCTGTAAGTGGGGAATTCATGCTGTGTGGACATGAATTTCTACCAAATTCAAGTTTGCTTCCCATGTCAAATACTGTAGACTTACTTTTTTACACGGTGTCATAATTCCGTGGAATCTCAATTTCTGTTTAATCCGCGGGTAGAAAATTACACTGATTTTCTAGATTTTCACTCGTATGCCTTACATTTATATATTAAGTAAGCTTGGATAAATTTCCGCGGAAAATTTGTGACCGCATACATAGCATAAAATAATACCACACAGAAAAAAGTACTTCTACAGTAGATAAAAATTGTATATAAATCAGGATATCCTATTAACTGCATATGAATTGCATCTTTTCTAGCCATGTGTTTCTTAAATCCGAAGGTTTGTGAGGAGAGTAGTGGATAAGAAACATTAATGGCTAGCAAGGATATTTGAATTGTTAAATACAACCCCTTACCTTACAGATCTTTCCTCCCTTGTACCAGAGTCTGAACCTGAGGGTCATTTCATGGCTTACTTTTTGACGGCAGTTGTGTTATGTGTCGCAGGATATGTTATTTTCCACAATAAACAAAGGGTATTTTTGGTTTCTTTGGTTTCAAAAGAAAATAATTGAAGAATTATATCTGTATTGAAACTTTTTCTTGCTTAAAATCAAATTGTTAAACTTTTTTTTATATATTCACTTCAATTATAATAAAAAAAATTAGAAAATTGGTTTGAATTTAAATAACTTTTTACCAAATAGTACTGTATACAGCTGTGATATTTAATTCTTTCTGCAGATTGTGGCCTTCATCATTGAGGGCCGAACTGGACGAAGATCTTCACGAAGACCAAACAAAGATGGCTACAGCAGAGTGAAGACAGATGATGTCATGCCTTCACTGGAGAAATCCACCACGTCTAAGAGCTATATTTATTAAGTCATATGTGAAGACAGATGTCATGCCATCACTGGAGAAAGCCACCACGTCTAAGAGCTATATTTATTGAGACATATTAAATAGTGGTCTGTTTTTAAAAGCCATGTATCTTCAGTTCACAAAATCAAAGTATAAGAGATTGTATAAAGACTTTTGGTTGATTTTCAAGCATTTAAGCATCTTTTTCTATCAACAAACTTACAACAAAAAGGTAATTTTGATTTAAGAATTTTCTGTTTTGGAAAAAAGTTGGGGGTGGTATTTATTTTCATGTATTGTATCCATGTTAATATTCCTGCTTGACTGTGATATACATATAGTTTAAATGGAGAGAAATGAGCATATATCATTAAGGGATATACTAAACATCTATTGATTAGGGTACAGTTTTGTCTGAAATGGCTCAGCTTATAGAGGATGGAGTTAAAAATAAAATTCATAGTGCACCATATGCCATATTTGGGGGTCATCATTGAAGGTGTTGGAAGCATGGTAATTTCATTCTTTTAGAGATTTTTCTGTAAGAAGAGAATCATTTATATATCCAAGGACATTTACATTTTGTAGTAAAAATAATGTTTCCAGAAAATTGTTAAAGCACACTTCATGTGAAAACCTGAGTATGTATGCAATTTAATTCCTTCTTGCAATTTTGCAGTGTCACTCTCATGGAATATCAAACTGTGTGGGACTTTGTTATGTATAATTATGTCCTTATCTCTGTTAAAAATTATATATGATTCATTTAAAAATCAAGAAGCTCAATCCCCTAGTAGATTAAGATAAAGGATTTTAGCACCAGCCTGGCCCTGGGTGTCTTTGTACACTTATGCTGGTATTCGTTACATGATTTTGTAGCCATAAAGCTACAGAGTGTACTAGTGAATTTTTCTTTCCTTTTATTTAAAAGCAGCTGTCTATCTATCATGATCAGATTTGAAAAGTCAAGTAAACGTAATGAAGTGTTTAAAACAGTAAACCTATGTGACCCATTGGCCTCAATTTTCATTGCTTTCACTTTAAAAAAAGAAATGCAGGAATTATCAGGAAACTTACAAGCATCATACCTGGTAATTATTCTTTCATAGGCTCTGAAAAAGCTAACCCGCTAATATCAAAATTAATGATTGATTCCATCAATAGTTACAGTAAAACTTGTTTAGTACGAACACGGATATAGCGAATTCACGGATATAGCGAAGTTTTCCTGGGTCCCCGGCAAAATTCTTAACAAATCCTTGTAAAATTTTACGGTTATAATGAACTCTGATATAACGAATTCACGGATATAGCGAACTGATTTTGGGTCTCGTTGAAGTTAAATATAATGAAATTTACATCTTTTATAACAAACTTTCAAAGATCTCAAAATTTAATATATTGAACTGACTTATTTTTATTCATGGAATTGTATATATAATTCAATTCACAATAAAACCTTAGTTATCGAAGGTATGTTTTGTAATATTTGTTTCCCTAACATATTTGGTAGTAATGCAGGAAGGAAAACATGCATATTGCGAATTCGCTTTATATGGTTTTACAAATTCGTTATACGGTTGTAACGAATTACGGATATAGCGAATTAAATTCACAGGTCCCTAGGACTTCGCTATAACCGAGTTTTACTGTATAGTTCCTTTATAACTTACAGGTGCTCCATCAGGAAGCACAACATTTCCTTTAAGCCAGCGGATGGTAGGAATAGGATCTCCATAGGCCTTGCAGCTTAAGGTGCCATCTTTACCCTCTTCCCCTGTTCCATTGTTAAACTCACGAATTTTAGGGGGAACTGAAATTCAAAGTCAATTTTGTAAAACCCATCAATATATCATTGATGTCTTATATTAGTCTTATATATATTTTTAACATTTTATTATTTTTTCTTCCTTCTTAAATGGGAATAGATTCAACAACCATAAAATATTCCACAACAAACTAAATTGTTCTGCCCTTGTGACATTTATAATGGTGACTTACTGATGACCTTTAACTCTGCCGTTTCACTGGCCACCCCAGCTTCATTCCTAGCCTCGCATTTGTAGCGACCTTCATCATCCTTTTTGGATTGCTTGATGATCAATATTCCTTTCTGTTTGTCAATCTCAAACCTATCCCCTACTAGTTCATTACTGCTTTCATCCTAAAAGTACACCAATTTATGTTTAAATTTTACGTGAAAAATCACACAAGAAAAAGTACATAAAGTATAAAAAGCTTTATTTTACTGTATGTTTCCGGAGTTGAACAAATATATGTGCTGTAAATGTCAAGTATTGATTTTATTATCCTGCTCAGTGACTAAAGCTAATGTTTTTTTTTCTAACTCAATTATCTAATCTACAGTAAACCCAACCATAAGCTGAAGTATTATCCTTTAAAATGGGTAAAACTACCGTCATTCTTACATGCAATTAAATTTCCAATCATACAATTGGTCATATCTTATGTAAATAAACCAACATTTTGTATCGTTATGAATGTATGCCCATAACTACAATGGACCTTCAGATATCCGCATGCCAGATATCTGGATGCTTCAGTATCAGGACGACTTTTCATCGGAACAGATTTTTTTAAATGTTGTTTTGTCTTGTTTGACTGGTAATTCAGATATCCGGACGCTTCACGTATCCTAGCAAATTGATTAGGAACCAAAGCGTCCGGATAAGTGAAGCTCCACTTTATACTTAATACCATACATATCAAATTTACATGAATTATATTTTATAAAAGACAGACATCTTAGTTTTTTACCTACGATTTTCCCTGTTTACAATAGATTTTGTGTGTCAGTAAATCACTGTCTTTTCTTCTACCACCTACCTTAAACCAATGTATTTATAGGTTTCATATGTTCTGCATTCAAACCTGTATCTGCCACCTTTCATCTGACCTGTACTGGGGACTCTGTGTATTTTCTAATTAACTGTTAAAACAAGTGATCAAGGATGAATAGAGTTATAAACACACAAGTAACTGATATTTTTTAATTCAATAAAATATTCAGTCAGACAGATACACATGCTAAAGTGAGCCATCTTTCTATAAAAACCCGGGCTAACATTTAATTGCCTGATACTATGGGTTAGTGAATTTTTGGCAACAAATGAATACTGAATTTTAAAGAGGCACAACCACACAGGCAAGTGGCTTCACATAATTTGATCACATGACCAAACAAGCTCTTTTCCTAGAGAACATTATAATCTTGTTAATTATTTATTTCTTTATATAATACACTGTAATAGACATGTTGTTCTCAAGAAAATGTTTTTAAAGATGTTTTCTGGATCAAAAGGTAAAAATATTCTTTGTTAAACTTAAAAGAAATGTCACATATTTTTTTTACCTTCTAATATAACCTACCTATCACAGTTACTGCTATGTCAATGAATTTGATTTTGGATGAAGCAGCTCCAGTTCCAACAACATTGCAAATAAATATTCCCTCATCCAAACTGCGATTTACATTGCTGATTTCAAGTCCCTCTGGAACCTGAGAATATCTTGGATGTACTACAATCATAAACATAACATCATTATTCCACTTCTGCCAATTTTTGTCAATTTTTTTCTTCTTGAAAAAAGTTAGTTACTAACATATATTGAACATTTTAGCCATCAAACATCAAGCCTGTTTTTGTTATGTTTTGACTCGCATACACACAAACAAAATAATGGTACTGTATAAAAATTTAGTCATTTTCCTTTATTCACATTTTAGTTTCAACTCATAGATATTTGTACTAAAACAAGTATTCTTAATTGGGGGAACAGCTGTAGATCTTTGCTGAGCATTGTCTGATATCTGTGGGTAATCTTGTCTTTACTTAATACCAGAGGGAAAACTCACTGAAATGCTTGCTAATTTGTTGATTAGGCTCTAATATAACAAGAGATGTTTGTAAAACACTTATGCCCCCTCCCCCCCAAAATGGGAATTTTTCTAAGTCCAAAAGGGCATAACTCTGTCAAAAGTGATGCGATCATACCCAAAACAAAACTTGACCTAGATATTTATCTGACTAATCTGTATACTAAATTCCATTTCAATATATGCAACCTCTCCAAAGAAAATGAACGGAAACTGCAAATAATTGAAATTTTTCTAAGTCCAAGGGGCATAACTCTGTCAATTATGGTGCAATCGTACCCAAAACAGAACTTGACCTAGATAATCATCTGACTAATCTGTATACTAAATTTCATTTCAATATGTGCAACCTCTCCAAAGAAAATGAACGGAAACTGCGAATAGTTCAGAGCTCCAGATAATTTTTCACCCTAAAGCGTATTTACTCCCTGATTTTTTCATCAATGCATATTTTCATTTTCAGCAAAATGATTGAATAGTATTTTGTTTATTTATCAATGTTTTAGCCTTTCTTTTGAGCTTGTAATCGAAGTATGTGTTTTTGAAGAGGGAAAAAACTTTAAAGGTCAGTTCCTACTTTTATTTAAATAAATTTTGTAAATACCAGCAAGACTTTATGCTAAGATTCGGAAGCATTCTTTTTTGACAAGGAGGATTATACAGTAGGTCAAGCTACCAAAGAGTCAGAGACACAGAAAACTTTTCCTTCATTTAAGATATCGTATCAAGAGTAAACTGAGAGAAAAGAATCTTCGTAAATGTGGTAAGTTGAGAGAGATGAAAAATTGGCTATGAACCCATAATAAAAAAAAGTTATGCCTAGTGCATAGTCTTTCTACAGAGAAATTGATTTTAATCTTAAACTCCTCCCGAAATGGAGATCGTCGTCGTTATTACTAGAATATTCCTGGTCACTGAAAGGTTTTTGAATCTGCACTTCCTTTTGATAAAAATTAAACACTGAGTTAACCTCTATTCGTATCATCAAGTAAGTCGTACCTGTATTCTTCAATGTGTTGTACGCAATATTTTCGTGGTGTCATGCGTATCTATGATTGCTAATGCGTAATTGTACGCTCTATTTTAATTTTCAATGCGTATTTTGAAAAATTTAATGCGTGTTTCTGCAAATACGCACCTTATCTGGAGCTCTGATAGTTGGAATTTTTCTAAGTCCAAGGAGCATGACTCTGTCAATTATGGTGCAATTGTACCCAAAACAACACTTGGCCTAGCTATTCATCTGCATAATCTGTATACTAAATTCCATTTCAATGTGTGCAACATCTCCAAAGAAAATGAACGGAAACGGCATATAGTTGGAATTTTTCTAAGTCCAAGGGGCATAACTCTGTCAAAAATGGTGCAAATGATACCAAAACAGAAGTTAACCTAGATATTCATCTGATATACCTGTATACCAAATTTCATTTCATTATGTGCAACTGTTGTGAAGAAAATGAACAGAAACTAAATGAACCGACAGCAGCAAAGAAATATGCTCCTCCCTTCTTCGAAGGGGGGCATAAATATTAATAATGAAAGTTGAATGGTAACTAAATGTATGTACCAATCCCGATCAGAATTAAGAGAAAACTGAAATAATAAAGAGGGAGCTGGGGTAAAAAATGTGGGCAGACAAGGACGAGAAATTTATATATCATCAAGGCCTTCTAGACAACCAATCAGGTAGTATGGTACAAATCTTGAGCTCCTTAAAACTCCTTAAAACTTGCAAAGTTTATTTTAAAACGATGAGAGTAAATTTGTACAGGTCACTGACATTATAAACCAGTCAGAAATTACATGGGAGTACATATGTACCTTTTAATTCTCAAACTCAAAATGCATGGGAGAGTGGATCTATAAGCAATCTGTATGTTAGCTAGGGAATAGCTAGTTTTTGGCATTGCTGAATATGCATATGTATAATGTGAACTCTGATTCGTTGATTTGCCATCGTGACTCTGTTAAGCAGCCAATGAAATGACCCAGGAATGATTTTTCTGTGAGTTTACCACAGGTAATGAGTAAAAGACAAGATCACACCCATGAGTACATGACACTGTTCATCGAGAGGCTTTAAAATGAAAAGAATGTTGACAAATCAAATTCAATGAAAATATATATTATTATACTTGGTGACCTGTCAGAATGACCATATAGGTTGATATCATAATAGGTACAATACATGTACATGATGTACGTAGCATATATATAACTGCTAAAACAAATAGATTTATACAAAATTAAATGTAGCAAGCAAACAAGTTTAAAATTCATAAAATTTATATATATATATATAAAGAAAATCACATTTATCAAATCAAAAGTCAGCCATGCATCTTACACCAGTACAAGAGGAAATTTGTTCCTATTCCTTGACATTCTAACAGTATATTCCACTAGATATAACCTTCTTTAAATAAATATCCGAATTTGTTAATACAATGAACATTCTACAAGTTACATTCCTGGAAGAAAACCTTCTTTAAAATTGAATAAATATCGTTATACAATTAATGTTCAAACAGTTACACTAGCTTCCCTGTGCATAAATCTAATTAAAATGAAAATCTTTGTATATTTCAAATGATAAATGCAATAAAATTACCAGAAATTTATATTATATACATGTCTACAATGCATATTTATACTCGAATCAATTCAATAATCCGTACCCTTAACTCTTTGGACCTTAACTATTAACTTAAAGAATCTGTTTTGTTGTTGTTGTTGTTGTTGTTTTTTTAAATCTCAATTCTTTTCAAAAGATCAACTTACTCTACAGCAACACAGGCAAGAAATATGTACATGTAAGTTTAGTAAGTAATGATTAGAGACTTAATGGGTCCTGATCTGTACAAATACAGAATGTGCACTATTTGCAAGTGTTTATGTCAGTTTTATCTTTTCTAGTGTTTCATCTGAGAAAATTATTCCTATCCTTTTCATAATTTATTAAAGAAGGAAAAAAAACAGTTGACCCTCTGATTCTAAAGGGCTAATTTATTCTTAGGAAGATATCTCTTTTTCATGTCTACCTCAAACCTATGCTCTTTGTGTCTGTTCATTTTTCAGATAAGAAACAAAATTCACTTTTTAAGCTGGGTTGACTCCATGCAAAGCATGATCTGACGATCAAACTTACCATCTGTCCCGTTTGATTCTGAAGAAGTTTTACATCAATTAAAGAGGTAATTGTATATTAAAAGCACAGATTTCTCAAATTAGAGTAAGGCATCAAATTTACCAGAGATACTGTTATACTGATGATAGTATATCCCATTAAACTCAAAATTGGAGACATAGGTTCATACTCACATCATCAACATGACCAATCCATCAGCTGGTTTTTGATTCCTAATTTTCACCCTAAAAAATTAACTAAATCCTGCTGTTTAAAAATCAGATATTTACCTTGACCAACTGTCTTGCCATCCCTAATCCAACTTATTGTGTATCCCCCAGGGGCCACACACTTAATCAAGCCTCGGGTACCTTCTTCAACTTTCTGTGATCTTGGTGCCATTTCTTCTGTTATTTCAAGGGGCATGTTGACAGACATTGAGATTTTTGCAGTTTTTGGTGTTCCATTAATTGTTCCATTGCATGTATATTCCCCAGCATCCTGCTCTAGGACATTTTTGATGACAAGTGACAGAGAGTTGGGTGCGTAACTTCCAGCATATACCCTGTAAATATTTGTAAATACATCAAGGCAGTGTACAACAAAGTATCAAATGAAAAGAATGTAATTTAATTTAAATATTTATTTTAATGTATACAATCTCAAATCAAAAACAAAATTAAATGATACTGAATTCATTCGATGATTAGATCAAATGCCACAAATTCAGATATTCTGAATCTGATAAGTTGATAACAGAACAAGAGGCCCACGGGCCTTATAGGTCACCTGAGTATTGTGTAACAACTTTCAAACATTTAAATTTGATTCGTGTTTTAAACCATAGGCCATGAAATTCATAATTCACAATTTTGAAAGAGGCACCATTGCTTATCATAATCATAAACTTAGCATGCCTACTCTATTTACTTAATAACCAGAGGTAGATCAGAGAAACAAAGAGAAAATGCACTTCCACTTTATAACCAGTTGTGCACCTCACCCTTAAGGAACCACTAACCCTGGGGCCACATATTTCAAAATTTTGCAAATTTTATCATAAAATGGTTGATTAATACACTTTATAACCAGTTGTGCACCTCACCCCAAAGGAACCACTAAACCTGGGGCCACATATTTCAAAATTTTGTAAATTTTATCATAAAATGGTTGATTAATACACTTTATAACCAGTTGTGCACCTCACCCCAAAGGAACCACTAAACCTGGGGCCACATATTTCAAAATTTTGCAAATTTTATCATAAAATGGTTGATTAATACCAAGAGCAGATTTCAATGCAATAATTTATTTTCAGACTATGTATCCCCCCCCACCCAGGGGGGCATAAAAAATTACCATTTTGCTAGATGCACCTTTCTTCATCATAAATATATATACTTGGATCATTGGCATAAAACTCAGGAGAAGAAGGAAAAAATTTTCAAAGAATTTATGCATTTTCACTATATGATCAATAGAGACCCGCCCTAACACCAGAACCCCTGACCCTGGGGCCATAAAATTCACAATTTTGGAAGTGGCACTCTTGCTCATCATAACTATGTACTTAGTTAGTTTATTTAATACCCAGCAGCAGAGAAGAAGATTTTCAAAGAATTAACTAGAACTGTCCAATAGGGACAAATACCCCCCGCTGGGTTTTTTCAGAGAAGGTGCCAATTCACATATACTTTATGGATCTATAGAGGTGTTCACTATTTACTTACAAAAATTTGCAGTGAAATATAATTGCTCATTATGTTTCTTAATGAATGAAACAAAAGTGCAACCAAATGAAACATCAATATTACAGACCCTAAATCGTGCTACTACACCTCAGAAACGAACCGTACCGTTCCGTGCAGAAAGCGTACCGTACCGTGCACAAAGCGTACCGTACCGTCCACAAAGCGAACCGTTCCGTGCACAAAGCGTACCGTTCCGTGCACAAAGCGAACCGTTCCGTGCACAAAGCGTACCGTACCGTCCACAAAGCGAACCGTACCGTGAACAAAGCGTACCGTACCGTCCACAAAGCGTACCGTTCCGTGCAAGAAACGAACCGTACCGTTCTTTGGTTAATTATGCAAACCACGCCCCCAATGATTTTTGAATCGTATAATGACCAAATAAGTCATTTTGGTTTATTTCTCGCTACGGCGCCTGTGAAAGGAGGACGGAGGTTGTGTCTGCCTGTTCGAAACACCATTATCAAGTATCAAGCGTCTGGATCTTCAACTTCAAAAATAAGGAAACTACTCGAAGCAAACTACAACTGCAAAACAACTAGACAGAGTGTGAGACGATTCCTTATTTGCTATAAATTAAATCAACTGGTTGTGTTTGTGGTCAAAGGTACAGTACAGGCCACAAGTTTTTCCCGCAAAACACGTACGGGGCACAGTGGACCTTGAACAATGTCGGCGTCTTTGAAGTCTTTCATTTTCATACTACAAGTTTTAGCAAATTAAATCAATTTCCTTTTGAAATATTAGCTGTATTTAAATATTCGTAATTTAACAATACAGATATTTAAACTAATATTATAAGATGCCCCAAAATTCAATATAATTGTGCTCGTGCCCGGGGAAAAAACCCGCCTTAAATGTGCACATGTACATTAATTCATGTTTCATAATCCTATAATTGTATTTGAAATAAAAACAAGAGGCCCACGGGCCTTATAGGTCACCTGAGCATTATGCAACAACTTTCCAGTTACAGTGTATTGAATTTGATTCATGTTTTAAGCCAGATGCTATATGGCATTCACAATTTTGAAAGGGCACCATTGATCATCATAACAATAAACTTAGCAGTTGCTTAGCTTGGTTACTGAATACCCATAAGCAGGGTAGGGGAACAAAAATGCACTCCAACTAATCAGTAATATTAATCAATAATCAGTAGTGCCCCTAACACTCTCACATAAACCCCTGACCCTAGGTTGCACAAATTTTTAAAAGGCACCCTTAAAATTGCCTATCAAAAAGTAAATAAATGTTTTATAAATACAAAGGACCAGATTTCAAACAATTAATTCATTTTCAGTATATAATTACAGCCCCCCCCCCCCCCCTCTATGGTACCCCTGAACCTGGGGCCTTGAAATTCACAATTCTGCAAGATTAGGGCCCTTACTCATCATAACTATATAGGTAGTTCATCTGCTTCATACCCAGAGACAGAGAAGAAAATTTTCAAAGATTTCATGTATTTTCACTATATAATCAATAAAGCCCCCCCCCCCCCCCCCCCCACACCACCACCACCAGAACCATTGACGCCGGGGCCATAAAATTCACAATTTTGGTAGAGGCACTCTTGCTCATCATAACTATGCACTTAGTTAGTTTATTTAATACCTAGGAGCAGAGAAGAAGATTTTCAAAGAAATCATGTATTTTCACCATATGATCAATAGAGCCCCCCCCCCCAACACCATAACCCTTGACCCTGGGGCCATAAAATTCACAATTTTGGTTGAGGCACTCTTGCTCATCATAACTATGCACTTAGTTAATTTATTTAATACCTAGGAGCAGAGAAGAAGATTTTCAAAGAATTCATGTAATTTCACTATATAATCAATACAGCCCCCCCCCCCCCCCCCCAACACCAGAACCCTTGATGATAGGGCCATTAAATTCACAATTTTGGTTGAGGCACACTTGCTCATCATAACTATGCACTTAGTTAGTTTATATAATACCTAGGAGCAGAGAAGAAGATTTTCAAGGAATTCACATATTTTCACTATATAATCAATAGAACCCCCCCCCACACACACACACACACACCAGAACCCTTGACCCTGGGGCCATAAAATTCACAATCTTGGTTGAGGAACACTTGCTTATCATAACTATGTACTTAGTTAGTTTATTTAATACCTAGGAGCAGAGAAGAAGATTTTCAAAGAATTCATGTATTTTCACTTTATAAACAATAAAGTCCCCCCCCCCCCCCACCAGAACCATTGATGCTGGGGCCATAAAATTCACAATTTTTGTAGAGGCACTCTTGCTCATCATAACTATGCACTTAGTTAGTTTATTTAATACCTAGGAGCAGAGAAGAAGATTTTCAAAGAATTCATGTAATTTCACTATATAATCAATAGAGCCCCCCCCCTCCCCCCAACACCAGAACCCTTGACCCTGGGGCCATAAAATTCACAATTTTGGTAGAGGCACTCTTGCTCATCATAATTATTTACTTACTTGGTTTATTTAATATCCAGGGGCAGAGAAGAAGATTTTCAAAGAAATCATGTATTTTTACTATATAATCAATAGAGCCCCACCCTAACACCAGAACCCCTGACCCTGGGGCCATAAAATTCACAATTTTGGTAGAGGCACTCTTGCTCATCATAACTATGTACTTAGTTGGTTTATTTAATACCCAGAAGCAGAGAAGAAGATTTTCAAAGAAATAATGCATTTTCACTATATACTTATTTAGCCCCGCCCTAGCACTAGAACCCCTGACCCCAGGGCCATGAATTTCACAATTTTGGTAGAGGACTCAATGCTGATTACAATCATGCAAATAATTTGACTGCTTGATGTCCAGGAGTAAAGAAGAAGATTTTTAAAGATTGCATTAATTTTAGTGGTTTTGGCCCCACCCCTCAGGCCCCAGGGGGGCAGGGATCATGAAATTCACAATTTTCGTTCCCCTTCACCCATAGATGCTTTGTGCCAAATTTGGTTGAAATTGGTTCAGTGGTTGCAGAGAAGAAGCTGAAAATGTTCAAATGTTAACACACGACACACGACACACAACACACGACGGACGACGGACGACGACGGACGAAAACGGATAGCAATAGGTCACCTGAGTTTACTCAGGTGACCTAATAAAGTTCAATAGACTATAATACCACTAAGATAGAACACGCTTTCATGAATTAATTCCCTGGTTGTCTCTACTTTTGATTTTAATTCTGCTCATTTAAATTATTAATTTAAATCTTATCGGATACAAGATCGTTTTTGTCGTAAGTATGCATTCATATGTAGTACATATCAGATGCGTGATTTTACTAATGAATTATTTTGTGAGAATTTTAAAACATATATAAACTGTCAAATTTAAAAAAGATCCGTATTAGACTCTCACATTAATTCTGTTAAGATTCTTACTATAGGCGAATCATTGGTGCAGTTATACTTGCACTGAAAATCTGTAATCATGTAAAATATGGATTAAAATATTATATGCGGTAAACATGAAGAATTCTACTGAAGAGACAGAGATAATAATCTTACTAAGAAAATTGTGATCAACTTTCACGCTGCATACAAAAATCACCAGCCGAATTTCTTGCAAATAAAATGTGCAAACTGCAGTATAAATATTACTTCATTCTGAAATACATCTCAGGAAAAATGAAAAAAAAAAAACAGTTTGCGAAAGAATGAAGATATTATAAGGTTTGTTACACTGTACCCCCATCCCCTTTCTAGAAAGCAATACGAATTAGCTGGTTAAAAGTTCTTTAAAAGTCTGCAAAATGGTACGTTGTTGTAAATTAAAATTAATCATAATCTACAGGAA